CCCAATCAACCTCTCCACTTGTTTTTCTAATAGACACCTCAAACCTAAAATATGCAAAATCAAGACCTCTTACCCCTCTACCCCAACATCTTCCAATCTCAGCAGCAGCACCTCTGTTCTTCCAGCTGTTTGGAGTCATCCCTGATTCCTGTCTTTTTCTCATGTCCCACAAACAATCAGGAAATCTTTTTTAACCTACTTTCAAAAAAACACATCCAGAGTCTGAGTGCTTCTCTCTACCTCCAGAGCCACGCCCTGGCCTGAGCTCTCTTTCACCTGGTTTTCACCTGGATCTCCGGCTCCATTTTCCGCAGTCACCACCTGCAGTCTATTCTCCAAACAGCAGCTGGCACGGTCCTTGTGAAAAGCAATGTTCACCTGCTGCTCAAGAACCCACGAATGGCTCCCCATTTCTTTCCCCAGGAAGGCCAAAGTCTAAAACATCTACAAAGCCCTATATGACCAGTTCCTATTTGCTTTCCTTATGTTGGAGGCTGTGAAGCTCCTTAAAATATAAACAGTTCTTTTTTTTGGAAGGGGGGGTGCGGCGCCAAGATGGCCGAGACAAGCCAGCACCGGAATGCAGCTCCCAGAGAATGAGACTCAGACGGCTAGAGGACTTCACAATTCCAAACAAGGTGCCAGGTTTGGGCACTGAATTTAGGCCCAGGGAAGGAAGGAGCTGCAGGGCGAGAGCCGCCCAGGGAGGCAAATCAAGAGGACGGGGAGGGGGCGCGTACCCACCTGAAACGTGCAGCCGGCTTTAACCCCCTCAGTGCTCCCTTTCGGACCCTGTGCTTACCTCATCACTCCTGCAACCCACGGTCCACGAGAGCCCTGCCAGACGGTAGGGTGCTGTGGGCAGTCGATGCAAATCTGAGCAGCAGCTACCGCCAGGCAGTGTGGCAGGGACCTGGACGGGAGTTTGGACGCCAGCTGGACCGACCATCTCATAGAGGGAGGCAGAGTTGAAAGCAGGGAAACAGACCATAAGGCCTGGCAGGCCCCACCTCCACAGAACTCAAACTGAAGCCCTTGCAAGAGAGCTTGGCAGCAAACACACCAGCTAGTCCCCAACCAGGAAGATCGAGCTCTGGGAGAGACGCCGTGACCAATCTCACCTGCAAACAAACTCCAAGGAAGGACCACCCACCCAACAACCTGACTGAACCCGATAGAGCCCAGCATCGCCCTCTACAGGCCAAAAAAGATACAGCTCCAACCTCAATAGAAGAAAAAGACTGCTCAAGACTCCTCCTGAAATCAACAACTTCAAAGATTAAAGGGAGATAAATCCGTGAAAATGGGAAAACCCCAGCAGAAAAAGGATGAAACCATTCAAAGAACAGAACACCTCTTCTCCTCCCAGGGATCACAACTCCTCACCATCAAGCAAAAAAAGACACAGAATGAATCTGATGAATTGCCAGCAGCAGGCTTCAGAAGGTGGGTAATAACAAACTTCTCTGAGTTAAAAGACCATGTTCTAATTCAATGCAAAGAAATTAAGAATCTTGAAAAAAGGTTAGACGAAATGGTAACTAGAATAACCAGCTTAGAGAAGAACATAAACAACTTGATAGAGCTGAAAAACACAGCACGAGAACTTTGCGAGGGATACACAAGTTTCAACAGCTGAATCAATCAAGCTGAACAAAAGATATCAGAGATAGAAGGTCAAATCAATGAAATAAAATGAGAAGACAAGATTAGAGTAAAAAGAGTGAAAAGAAATGAACAAAGCCTCCAAGAACTATGGGATTATGTGAAAAAACTTAGTCTACACTTGATCGGTGTACTTTAATGTGATGGGGAGAATGAATCCAAGGTGGAAAACAGCACATCAAAAAGCTTATCCATCACGATCAAATAGGCTTCATCCCAGGGATGCAAGGCTGGTTCAACATGTGCAAATCTATAAATGTAATTCACCACATAAACAGAACCAAAGACAAAAACCACATGATTACCTCAATAGATGCAGAGAAGGCCTTTGACAAAATTCAACAGCTCTTTGTGCTAAAAACTCTCAATAAACTAGGTATCGATGGAACGTATCTCAAAACAATAGAAGCTATTTATGACAAACCCACAGCCAATATCATATTGAATGGACAAAAATTAGAAGCATTTCCTTTAAAAACAGGCACTAGACAAGGATACCCATTCTCACCACTCATTCAATATAGTATTGGAAGTTCTAGCCAGAACAATTAGGCAAGAAAAAGAAATAAAGGACATTCAATTAGGAAAAGAAGAGGTCAAATTGTCTCTATTTGCAGATGACATGATCGTATATTTAGAAGATCCCATCGTCTCAGCCCAAAATCTCCTTAAGCTGATAAGCAACTTTGGCAAAGTCTCAGGATACAAAATCTATGTGCAGTAATCACAGGCATTCCTATACACCAATAACAGACAGAGAGCCAAATCATGAGTGAACTCCCATTCACAATTGCTACAAAGAGAATAAAATACCTAGGAATACAACTAACAAAGGAAGTAAAAGGTCTCTTCAAGGAGAACTACAAACCACTGATCAAGGAAATAAGAGAGGACACAAACAGATGAAAAAACATTCCATGCTCATGGTTAGGAAGAATCGATATCATGAAAATGGCCATACTGCCCAAAGTAATTTATAGATTCAATGCTATCCCCATCAAGCTACATTGACCTTCTTCACAGAACTGGAAAAAACCACTTTAAACTTTATATGGAACCAAAAGAGAGCCCGCATAGCCAAAATAATCCTAAGCAAAAAGGACAAAGCTGGAGGCATCATGCTACCTGACTTCAAACTATACTACAAGGCTACAGTAATCAAAACAGCATGGTACTGGTACCAAAACAGAGATATAGACCAATGGAACAGAACAGAGGCCTTGGAGGCAACACCACACATCTATAACCTTCTGGTCTTTGACAAACCAGACAAAAACAAGCAGTGGGGAAAGGATTCCCTGTTTAACAAATGGTGTTGGGAAAACTGGCTAGCCATATACAGGAAGCTGAAACTGGACCCCTTCCTTATACCTTATACAAAAATTAACTCCAGATGGATTAAAGATTTAAACATAAGAACTAACACCATAAAAACCCTAGAAGAAAACCTAGGCAAAACCATTCAGGACATAGGCACAGGCAAGGACTTTATGACTAAAACACCAAAAGCAATGGCAGCAAAATAGACAAATGGGACCTAATTAAACTTAAGAGCTTCTGCACTGCAAAAGAAACAATCATTAGAGTAAACCAGCAACCAACAGAATGGGAAAATTTTTTCTCAATCTATGCATCAGATAAACAGCTAATATCCAGAATCTACAAAGAACTAAAGCAGATTTACAGGAAAAAAACAAACCCATTCAAAAGTGGGCGAAGGATATGAACAGACACTTTTCAAAAGAAGACAAATATGTGGCCAACAAACACGAAAAAATGCTCATCATCACTGGTCATTAGAGAGATGCAAATCAAAACCACACTGAGATACCATCTCACTCAAGTTAGAATGGCGATCATTAAAAAATCTGGAGACAACAGACACTGAAGAGAATGTGGAGAAAAAGGAACACTTTTACACTGTTGTTGGGAGTGTAAATTAGTTCAACTATAGAAGACAGTGTGGCAATTCCTCAAGGATCTAGAAATTGAAATTCCATTTGACCCCCCAATCCCATTACTGTGTATTTACCCGAAGTATTATAAATCATTCTATCAGAAAGACAACATGCACACGTATGTTCATTGTGTTGCTGTTTATGATAGCAAAGACCTGGAACCAACCCATATGCCCATGGATGATAGACTGGACAAGGAAAATGTGGCACATATACACCATGGAATACTATGCAGCCATAAACAACAATGAGTTTGTATGTAGAGACATGGATGAACCTAGAAACCATCATTCTCAGCAAACTGACACAAGAACTGAAAACCAAACACTGCATGTTTTCACTGATAGGCCGGTGATGAACAATGAGAACACTTGGGCACAGGGAAGGGAACAACACTCTCAGGGCTAGGTGTGGGGGGAGGGCGGGGAGGAGGGGGAGGCATGTATGTACTTATGCAGCAATCCTGCAGGATACAGGATGTGCACATGTACCCCAGAGTCCAAATACATTTTTTTAAAAATGAGAAGGGATAAAAGGACAGCCACCTCCTCAGCAGAGCCAGTTCACACTCTGCTAGACGCAAGACGTGCTGGGACCTTCTCCCCTAACCCTTACTGCGTATGTGAGAAAAGCCAGACTTGCAGGATCTACTGGAAATGCTAGTGCCTGAGACCGGGAGGAAACTACTGTAAACCCGAAGACACCAGTTAAGCAGGGAGGGGAGAGAGCCCTAGGGCGCTCAGGAACTTGGAATAAGGTTGCCCTCTGCGGGTGAAACGGTGAAATCACCTCACAGTTCGCAGAGCAGACCCGCGCAACCGTCACCAGACTGGAGGTACCAACGCGTCGCAGACGGAGGGCGCCGGAGTGCATCCCAGACGCGAGGACAAAGGCCTGGACGGGCTGTGGGGCTCTCGGAAGTATCTGGTCACCTTGAGAGGAGTCCGCCGGCCAATGGAGCCTGATGTCGCTGCACCTTCGATTCCTCAGACGCCCCTGCTCTTACTTTGCGGTCTTCCAGCAACTTCTCCGCTCAGGCCTCCCCTAGTCCTTGCCCTCTGGGGAGGAGGCGCATTCCACAGGCCGATTCGCATGTGTGGACCCTCGGCAGCACCTTCTCGTTCAAATTAACAAGTGGTCCTCAGCGTGGAAGCACCGCCCAGCCTTTCCCGGGGAGGTCACCGGGGTGAGGCCGCTTAAGGTCTGCAGACCCCGGGCGTTGCCATGATCTCCCCCGAGCGCTGGTCGGTAAAGGCCAGGAGAGGGCGAACCCGGCCCCCACCAGCGGCCCTTCCATGGGTGGACTCTGGCACCACCAAGTGGTCAGCGCGTCTGGGAGCTCCAGAGGGTAGGGCAGAATTGGGTAGATGAGGGTGCATTTTGCTGGGAGGAGTCTAAGGCTTCGCTCTGACTCCCAAAGGCCAAAGAGCCCACTCCGGGAGGCAGGACGCGAGGCCGGCCGCCGGAAGGAGCCCTGGCTGTCCCTCCTGGCCTAGCGCTACCTCTTTGATCTCACCCTCCTTGTGGCGGCGAGAGTCACCAAAGATGTGAGGGGCCATTGGGCGTCGGGAGAGAGGTGGGGGTCGGCGCCGGCGGGACCCCAGATTGGATCCGCCCTCGTCGGACGGGCAGACCCTGCTGCAATAGCTCCCGGCTGGCCTCGGGAGGCAGGTGGGGCCCGCCTCGAGTCCTAGGGAAAAACACCTTCCTCTTGATTCTCTCAAAGGAGTCCGAGCCCTGGGAAGGACGCCAAGGCGCCTCCGGGATCCCAGAGACTGCCAACAAGCCCAAAAGAGAGTGCTTATCCAAGCGGAGAATCTCTCTCCACCTCCGCCCTCCCGGGACTCAAAGTTGTTTGTCAAAGGAGCCACCAGTTTTCCTTGTAGATGGGCGCCGTATGCACTCTGCGCGCGCACGTGTGTGTGTGTGTGTATATATATATATATATATATATATTTTTTTTTTTTTTTTCCAGTTGCAACTGTAGGATTGCCCGTGCCAGCTTCCGGAAATGAGCATCCGCTCCCTCTCCCGGGACTGGGCGTGGGGTTCACCGAGAGGAGAGACCTTGCGTTTGCGCTGGGCCTGCTCTGTGCCAGGCCCTCCCAGTCTTCCGTCTATCCTGGTTTCTGGTCTGTGCGTTGTGGGTGGCAGCATTGGCGTGTTGCGCCGCGGGGAGCAAGCTGAGCGAGGCTCCAAAAGGTGCGCAATAGCTGGAGAGGAAGGGGCAATGCTGTCACCTGGCACCCTCCCTTAGACTCCATCCAGCCCAGAAAAAAGGAGCTGCTTTCTCCCCCACCTACCCGAGGAGAAATAAACGGGCGCTGACATTTTCCTGCGTTCTTTAATTTTGACAAAACTGTTTTGGGTTGGCTATTGTGGCCCAGGATGGAAGCCTTCTCCCTGGAGCAAACCTGCCCACGCCCAGGCGAGCAGTGGAGTCAGCCTTGCCCCAGCCTGCCCTCTAGGAAAACAATACCCCTTTGTCGCTCGCCTTCCCAGGGCTGATCTGCCCCACCCCTTAGCTCAGGGCTCCCTCCCGTTAGAGCATTCCAAAGATAGCCACAAGTCACACTCTTCTTTGAGGTCTCTGCTTGGGAAGAAAACAAAGCAGCCTTCCTAATCACAAGGAGGGAGTGTGATTTTTCCTGCAAATAGTATGACTATTTGCCAGCCTTGGCTCCTCCCTGAAGCCCTGTCAAGAGGGGTTATCAGGTCACTTAGGTTTTGTGCCTCGTGTGAATTCCCACAATCAGTAAATTACAGAGGGGGGTTGAAAATTAAAGCTGTCTTTGGCATTGTCCCTTATCCACCCAGACCCTCCAAAAGGCTGGCTGGCATTGGCTTGACTCCAGTTCTACCTGCCTCAGTAAATAGTATCTTCCCACTCCATCCACCACCTTCCTCCCTCTTTACCTGCCTCACCTACTTGGTTGCTTGGTAGCACTAAGGGTCACAATGAGACTGTTTTGGGGGACCCGGCCTCATATGTCCTCTGCCTCCTCGTTCAGTTCCAAGAGGACAGTGCCTTCTACTTGGGTGTGCCTCCAGGATGGTCCTCTCCTTTTAGGCTCTGGCTTGTCAATCCTCCCTCAGTGCTCCCACCAGTCTCAGTTCCACTGCCAGGACAGGAGGACTGTTCCCTCCCGTGTCTTCTGCAGAAGGGCAGAACTTTAGGGGTGCTATGAATAATGGTATTTCTCCTTGTTGAACTACCGGCAGCATCTACACATGTCCACACAGGCTATAGCCGGTCCTGGTTTGAGTGTGATCATTAAAGGCTCAGGGCAGTGGACGGTGGCTGTGGGGTCACTAAGGGACCATAGTCCAGGGACTTGGTTTCTCAGTTTGGGTGTCGATGAAGGGAATGTGTGTTTTGGCAGCATGCAGGGTACTTTGGCAACATTTTAAAAATTGTTGTCCCCCTTTCCTGATAAATGTGCCCAATTCCAATTCCCTTCTTCCCTCCTCCCTTCATTGTTTTTCTTCTCTCTCCTATTTTTTCCCACATCCGTGGGATTCCAACTGGTCCTTTGGCGTCTCAGTTTCCTCTTCTGAAAAGCTTGCGATTATAGTAATTCATAGGGTGGTAATAAGAAGTAGGTGACATAGCATGTATTTAATAAATTAGTCCCATTTCCTTACGTTTTCTCATTTTTTTCCTCTTCTCGATTGACTTTGAATTCTCCCTTCTTTTGCTTCTGCCTGTTCTCCACAGAGATTGGAGATGAGGCTGCATCAGGCAGAGACATAGGGATGGGATCTGGGGAACCTATGGTTCCTTTTTTGCATTCCACTCACTTTGGACTCTACCCTTTGAAGATTACTGCCATCATGAATAGCTGTTAACGTCTTGTTAGCTAACTGTCTCCCACCACTGACCTCTAAGAGTGACTAGCTCCTGAATTACTTACTGTTTGGAAGTCATCATTGGGTGTATGGTCACACGATTTGGAATCCTAGAGTAAACAAATTCAATACTGTAACCTTTTGAGGATTGTATAGTAGTGAGGGCCCGGAATATCCTAGTCCTTTGCAGGAAAGATTCTTCTTGTCGAGAGCCTGGACTAGCTGTCCTTTACATGTCTATGCCTTCTCCCCTCTGTGATGGTGCCTCTTTACAGTTCAGTCTTCAGCAACCATTTACTATGTTACTTTCCATGTTGAAAGGGGTGGAAATAAAGGTGCAGACTCCATGTCCCTGGTAAGACAACTCTGAAGGGTTACCCCAGCTTCAGAGCTCTTTGGGGACCAGCTGAGTTACTGTTTGCCTCACAGCCCACTGTCTCCTTTGCCCAATCCTGTGTTTTCCCCTTCCCCACATGTGTTCCCCCGGAGCACTCTTCCTTTAATTTCCTGCATGCTACTTTCATCCCAGACACTGATTCCTGGGGAGCCCAGCCTGCAACATGGAGCTAAGTGGAAAGTACATGGAATGCAGCCTGAGACATGACTGTGTTCAAACCCTGGCTCTGTCGCTTAGTGGTTATGCGGTTTGGGGCAAGGCATTAATCCCTCTAACGTTCACTTTCATCTGGGGGGAAAAGATAACTGTGAGGATTAAATGAGTTTATATATAGTGTATGAGTGCCTGGCCTACTGAAGCAGGGCAACAGATGTTGGCTCCTCCTTCAGTAATATTTATTGAACATGGCATCCCAAGTGTTACTAGAATTTATATTTCTACTCCATAAATTTTACCAGAATTTATGTATTTTCATATTCTTGAAACTAATACTGCATTTTTGAAAGGGGCAACTCCTTCCTTCCTAAAGTTTTAGAACACTATCCTAAATGAAGTATAATGGTTACCAAATGGCTATCAAAGCATCTTAGATAGCATCTGGATCTGGTTGACCTTGAACAAGCAGGTTAATCATGTAACTTAGCTAAGTCATGGTGAAATTTCCTCATCTGTAGGAAGAGATATTAATAGTAACTACTTGTGGCAGATGGCGTTTTCCATAAATGCCTACAAAATACTTTCCATCGCAGCTGCTCTTCAGAAATGACCTTGCCATTCCTCCATCAGTAGATGAAATCTAATTCCCCTTCCTTTGCATCTGAGCTGGCCTCAGGTATTTACCTGGGCATTGGAATGTGGCAAAAGTGATGGTCTGAGATTTCCAAGGCTAGATCATACAAGCTAAGTCATTCCGTGTGGGTCTCTGGGGATGTTCCCTCTTGGAACCCAGCCATCATGCTGTGAGAAGCCTGAGCTCTTGGAAAAGCCATGTGTAGGTGCTCTGGCTAACAGTCCCAGCCAACAGTAAGCATCAACTGCCAGCCGACTGAGCCCTCCCGACATCCAGCACCTTTGGGCCTTCTGATGACTGCAGCACAAGCCCACATCTGGGACCCCAAAAAGAATGGAAATAAACTGAGCCCAGTTAGCATACAAACCAAGACAGATAATAATAAATGGTTGTTTTAAGCCATTAAGTTATGGAGTGGTTTGTCATGCAGCCATAGAAACTAAAACTAAAACTAGCTCCTAAGGTTATGTGAAAATCAAGCAGACAATGCATGCAAACTGATTACTAAAGTGCTTAGTAAATGATTAATGCAGTTGCAGAGAAAAGTAAGCTCTTTTTATTATATTATATGGGGAGATAAAACATGGGCACAAATAACTATAATACTAAGCAGACACCATCTGAATCAATATTTAGTGGACACCTATCCCATGCCAGACTCTCTATATAATCATAGAATCTCCAAGTAGAGCAGAATTTGGGAAATATTCTAGTTCAACCTCCCACTTAGTGAGGACATTTCTTCTTGAATGCTTATTTAATACTACTATTATTTATTAAGCCCTGCTCTGCACCAGAAAGTGTGGTAGATGGCAATGTTAGGAAGTGGCATAGAAGGAGAACTAAAACACAGCCCAGTGCCAGAGGCAGACACATGGACAGTTTCTGCCCAGTGTCCTATGTGCAGGGAGAGAGGATACAAAGAAGAGGGATGCATTTCCTCCACACGGAATGGGGTGAGTCATCTCACTGTCAGGCAGCTCTGCTGATTTAGCTTCCTGGTGCTCTGGATCCTGCTGATACATTTTCTGTGCATCAGCTTGTGTTCTGAGTGGCAGTTCTCTGACTCTTTGCCTTCTTGCTCCATATCCCGATGTTGGCTGTTGACACATCCACTTACCCATCTCTGCTTAAAGCTGACCCTTGTCAAGGGAGGAGGGGTTTCCCTGGCTCTTTAACACCAGACTGTGGGCTCTTTAAGGGCAATGCTGGATCTTGTTCATCATTGAGGCCTCAGCTTCTAGAGCCACCAATATAAAATGAAATGGGGGGGGGTAGAGAGAGAGACAGAGAGAGAGAGAGAGAGAGAGAGAGAGAGAGAGAGAGAGAGAGAGAAGAAAACGCCACCAAACAAATGCATCTCATTTTGTGTGGGTTCAGAAAAATGCCAGAGATTCCTTTAATTCAAGTTTATTTCAAACAACTACATCACGGCAAGTTAGCAGTGTAAGCTGCTTTCTCAAGTTTCACGAGTAGCACTATGTTTTTAATAGACTGGGGGTTTAATAGGCAGGTAAAATCAGTTTAAAAAAAAACACTGATGAGTTCACTTTGAGTCCACTACAGCCAAGTAGCTGGCAGCAGCTACAGTTATGAGCTATCAGTTTCCTATGGAGAGCCATGTTTTATGACTTCTAAATAGTATCTTTAAAAATGCTTCACAAACTATGAGTTTCACACAACTATAAGGGTTAGAATTTAAATTTTAAATAATAAACGTAAGTTTGGTGTCATATCAGAGGAAACTCTAGATTTCTCCTTTTGAGAAACAGAGGGGGTAACTCACCAGAGCAGAGCAGAGTCATCTGAATTAGGCCCTTTATTCTCAGCCAAACCTGCTGAGAGGCTCCATCTACCACTCACAAGGTATGGGAGCGGGAGAATGCGCATGGTTAGACAAAAATTTGCTTCGCTGTTCGGTTTCCCTTTAATCACTTCTCTTTATTTTCCTGTTTCTTTTTCTTTCTTTCTTTCTTTTTTTTTTTTTTTTTTTTTAGACAGAGTTTCGCTCTTGTGACCCAGGCTAGAGTGCAATGGCGCAATCTCGGCTCACCGCAACCTCCGCCTCCTGGGTTCAGGCAATTCTCCTGCCTCAGCCTCCCAAGTAGCTGGGATTACAGGCACGCGCCACCATGCCCAGCTAATTTTTTGTATCTTTAGTAGAGACGGGGTCTCAACATGTTGACCAAGATGGTCTCGATCTCTTGACCTCATGATCTACCCGCCTCAGCCTCCCAAAGTGCTGGGATTACAGGCGTGAGCCACTGCGCCCGGCCTATTTTCCTCTTTCTTATTTG